TTTGTTTTAATTATAATTATAAAATATTGTAATTGACAATTTTTAAGTTGTCCTTTTTGATCATTTTACATGTTTATCAGCTATTTTTTGGTAAATACGAGTTCATCAACCAACTTATCAACCAACAATTAGCTTATCAGTTAGTTTGCCAAACATAGCCTAAATAAAATTCGTTCACTTTGGTCCAAAAAACTCAGAAGTCGTGACTCGATCGTGGGATACATGTTCCAGCAAACAATTTCAATATACCTTTTTCACTGATTTTGACGATTAATTATTGGATGTGACTCGATCTTCAAGGTTCAATGTTTCGACGTGATTCACTTTAATACGAAAACAAAAGTTGAAATATGAAAACAAAAGTTGAAATACGAAAACAAGTATTTTTATACAAATGAAACATTATTTTAATAGGTTTGCAACCTAATCAAGTTAGGTCGTTTATCACCATACTGATTTTAATTAATTACAGTAAAATGATGCAACGAGGAGACATAAACCAATTGAAATTGAATTTAGTATGAATAATAAGTTTTTAAATATTATCATATGGTTTTTCAAAACAAAAACTTATAATGTAACAAATCATCTCACATGGATAGAAGGTGAGAATTGTTAGTTTTTTTTATAAGTCACAAGTAGTGAGCTACTAATAACTTCCACCATGTTTTAAAGTTGGATTCGAAGCTATTGAGTCAGTCCGTTGCTTTAGTCTTTGGGGATGTTATAAATGGTATCAGAGCCGATTTTTGTACCATCGGGATGGTGGAGCAAACCTCATCGGGTATGATGAGTCATCGAGAGTGGGTGTTTGTAATATCTTAGACGAACCCAACATTGCTGATGACAAGAGGGAAGATTATGGGCTGGCCTGACGAGAACGTCAGGAGTTTAAATGCAGGAATTTGTAACAACTCGTACTACATGGGTAGAAGGTGAGAATTGTTAGCTCCTTATAAGTCCCAAGTAGTGGACTACCAATTAACTTCCACCATGGTTTTAAATTGGATTCGAAGTTATTGGGTCAGTCCGTTACTTTGGCTTCTGGGGGTGTTACATATACAAAATATTAATGTTGTGTTCTCGAAACCTTTATTACGAAGAAAATGAAGGAAAAATAGAATAACTCATGTTGTTTTATTAAATCAAAGAAACAATTTCATCTTAAGATCGTGTGTATTATTTTGTCAAATCTATTTCGATATGAGTCACCTTATGGGCCATTTATCAAATGCTTACCTGAGTAAGTTTTTATCAAGTCACGTTATTTTACCGGGTGAATATGACAAGGACCAATAATTTTACCTGGTAAGAGCGAAAGCAAGGTCCAAGAATCTTACCCGGTGAGTGATGACGACGACTCTTACCATGGTTAGCGCTAGGGGTGCTCAAAAACCCGACCAACCCAACCCAACGCGAAATAACTCAACCATAAGCAACTTGATGTCTTATCGAGTTGTACAATTTTCAAATCGTAGGTATTGAGTTGATATTGGATTACTATTATTTTAACCTAACCCGATGAACCCGATATCCTTTTATTTATTGGATTTAATATGAATATTGAATTTCTATTAATATATGCATTAGACAATAACACTATCATGCACGTTCTTCATATACACATCTTTTCAATCTATTCACATATCTATATAACTCATTCGTATATATTTTCAGTAATTGTAAACATATATATGTAAATTGAGAAAATTAACTGAATGTCATGTACGTAAGAAGCATGGATAAACTGTGTCAAATGGTTGATGATGAAAAATAAATTATGAGTAGAGAAATAACATATTCAAGGTTAGTAGAATATTTTAATGTACCAAAGTATCAACCCGACCAACCCATACAGTTTGGGTTGGGTGGGGTTGCACTTTCGTTTAGGTTGGGTTGGGTTGGGTTGCACTTTCGTTTAGGTTGGGTTGAGTTAAGATTTTTCAAAACGCAAACATTGGGTTGAGTTAATAAAATGTCTTCAACCCGATCAACCCAACCCATGAGCACCCCTAGTTAGCGCTTATCGAGTAAATTATTACATACAATGTCGTTTTCGTGGACTTAAATCTTACCCAATAAGTAACGATAGTGTTGAATTTTATTGATAAACGTTTATCGGGTAAGTCTTTAGGTAAACGGCCCCTTGGCCTTTAGTATATAGTTTTTCAGTATTTTTTTATCAAATCTATCTCAATATCTTGTTATCTTAACTTTAATTTAAACTGATTTGTTATATGTTAATTGGTTTTTATGTTCAAAGTCTCAAACTGATTATCTAGAGATAAAATATACAAACTTATGGTATAGTTTGCCTTTTGGTTTAACCCAAAAACCAAAACAGTAAAAAAATTAACTAAAACTGAACCGTTTGACCCAAAAACCAAATAACCTAAAACCATTTTGGTTTGAATGGTTATTCAGTTTTAGATTTTTTTTTTTTGATACTACTAAGTTTCTAGATCATCACTGCATATTTTAGAGCAAATTGCATTAAAAAGTAACGTACTTTAATTTGATTCTTATTTTGGGTAACATACTTCTAAAACTTCCATTTTGGTACCTAAGATGTAAAGAGTACCCGGGTAACCGGTTGAAGCATTAATCGGTTACCATGCTGATATGGCAAGTGATGTGATATCCAACTCAGTATTATTTACTATTCAACCCACTTTCATCCCATCACTCGCCACATCAGCATGATAACCGATTAATGCTTCAACTGGTTAACCGGGTACTTAAATGTTTAAAACATTACATCTTAGGTGCTAAAATAGAAGTTTTGAAAATACGTTACCTAAAATAGAAATCAAGTTAAAGTACGTTACTTTTTCATGCAATTTGTCTTATATTTTATGAAAGTAGTATTGGTAATTTCAATACACAATTTTCAAAAAAGAAGTTGAGGGTTTATTTGTAAATTTCAAGAATAGAAGGGTCGGTAATGCAATTTGAGCAAACATTAAGTTTTTGCAGCAATTTTCCTTTGGGGGTAAAGACGCAAAAGAAACCCTTAGCCGATCGGAACCTCCTTCACGACCAGAAATCCTGAAGAACACCATTTGATCGTTGTTCATCCTGTTTTGATTTGCACTAAATTCATTCACGGCGACTGATTCATTCGTATTTTCATAAATATAGAAGGTTAGAAGGTATATTTGACGTTTGTTGGGGGAGAAATGTCGAGAATATGGTCGAGGTTATCAGCGTATATCAGAAATCGGACTTTCATCGGAGCCGACAAAGCCGGAAATCAATACTACGTTCGTACTGAACAGATCGACGGTATCAGTAAGTGCGTTCCCTTTCTTTCACTTAAATTGAATTTCTAGTTCGATTCCTTGCTATTGATTTTAGTTTCAATGAATTTGAATGCAGTATGATCTATATAATTCGTACTTATATTCAAATCAAGGCTCAGTTTGTCGCGTATCGGTTTTCTAATTCTAAACTGTATGTCTGTATTGTTGATTCTCAGTAACCAAGTGGGATGGAGTGAGTTCCATTTAATCTATGAGGTGGAGATAGTAAGCTTGTAATGGTAAAATTGTCTGTCTAATATTGTGTTCCATGTCCTGTGGTATAAACACTAATCTCCTACTGGAAATGTTTCCTTTTCATGTAAATGATGTTTGGATCGATAAACCGAATTTGTGAGGCATTTCTGTATAACCTGCAGAAAGTGTATGATTAGTATCAGGGTCACAGATGAACTTGTTTAAGGTCATAAGAGTATGTTTGGGAGAATTGTAGTTCCATGTAGTAGTGAAATGGAATCAGAGCTCATTTAAACCAACATCAAATTTGATGCTTATTAATAGTCTTCAGATGATTTTATGCTGTTGGTAGAAATAGAACGAAGAATGAACTCATTAAAGCTTCACCGTGGGTAGGATAAAAAATGGTTCATGCTCAGAACTTCAGTGAGCCACGTGTATCTTTTAAGATATGTCAATGCAGTTGCTAGTTAAAACTTGAGTATCTGATCACATTGCAGACATCATTCTGTAACTGTAAGTCTGTAAGTAGGGTGAAATATATCATATATGACGATACTCTTTTTATGCAACAGTGAAGGAGAAACGATGGGTAGAATTCAAAGGGGAAGATGATCCAACCTCCATTCCAGGTAATAAGTTTATATGCTTGAAAACTTGCATGCTTCAAACTATGATGATCTAATTTCCAATCGCAAAGTAAAAGCTTTTTGCTTGCAAAAATTCGAATAAATATGCTTGTTAAGGCTTTGATCTACAAAGGCTACTCATTTTGATTTATGTTTGTAATATTCAAGAGCTGTTATGGCTTTTTTGTAGTCGAATGGATATGCTGGCTAAATGGGCAGCGCAAGATTGCTCCAACACCAGAGGTAAATTACAACCTTCTACCCAAACACTTGGGTTTGGCACATGTACTATTTGGCTGTTTGTGTAAAGTAAGGAATGCTTCTTGTTTTGTAAGTCTTTAAAGGAAGAACCACAAATGGGAAGAACAAGGGGATGATAAAATCAACCTGAGTTTGAATCCTGCCATCTACATTTGTGCTTGTGGCCATTAAGAGATTTGCCTCAAGGTTGAGGGCGAAGCCTAAAGTCATGACTTGCCATGGGATTAGTCGGGGAGACCTGTGATCACCCATTTCCAAAAAAGAAATATCGATACATTTTTGAAAGGCATACCATATTGGTCTTTGTACATAACCTACATAATTCTGTTTATGAATATGTATTCGAGAGTTTCTTTTTTTTGTTGATGACAGAACTCATCATAATGTTATAGGAGATGGCTATGCTGGAGGCAAGGCGCCAACGTGTTAAAGAAAATGTTGCTCGTAAGTGTCATCAATTTTGTGTCTATGTTTTGCTCATATCTTAATTACCATCTGTTAATTCATTGTAACATTTCAAGTTATTTTTCCTCGACTGTACTGGTGGATTGTCCTGATTGGCACTTTTCCTGATTATATGAAATCCCGAACCAATAATTTCTTTTATGTGATCAAGTTCTGAAGAAGGAAGAGGAAGAAAGGAAAGCGAGGGAAGGCATTAGTCGTAAAATAACAAGCATGGGTAAGCTGCACTTTTCGTTTGTACTTCTTTCATCATCAATTCGCATTTAATGGAAAACAGATGGATCAAAAACCTATGTTGATGTATACATATACTTTTGTTCAGGTAAAGGCGATCGGCCAGACCTAAAAAGCTTCATTCAACAACTTCCGGTTGCCTCAAAAGGTAACATGTTGATTCATATTTCCATATCCTTTATCATGTTCGATTACAAAACTATAGACGACCCTGATCCAAGTTTTTTAAAGCTTTTGCGTTGATAGCCAAAAAACATGTTTTAAAGCACCACAATGATTCATAACTTGGACTAATCTTTTGTTAGATTTATGTAAGTGAATATATTAAAAGAATAGCGATTTCTCATTAGATTGTCGTTAAGGGTATGTTTGGTACACGGGAGAAGACGGGAGTGGACAAGACAAAAAACTTGTCCGCGTTTGACGCGACATTAGACTGGGTGATGTGACTTGAGTGGGACGAAAAAATAGGTGGAACAAAAATTAGGGAGATGAGACAAGTAGGAAAATTAATAAACTACCCATGTTAAATTAAAACCCAAAGGGCTCGTTTGGTTTGTGGGATTCGGGGAGTTTTGGAATTGAATTATATTCCAATCCTGCGTGTGGTTTAAAGGAAAGTCCGGAATTGAATTCACGGGATTTCAATGAAAATTCCATGGGGTAGTTGGTATTTCGCTGGATTTCATAGGATTTGTTTGTAATAATGTTTCAAATTATGTTCAAAACACTTTTTTTTTGTAAGAAACAATTAATAAAAAGGTTATTTAATTATTTTTATAATTTGTTTTTATAAAGAATTGAATTCAATTTCATTCCAAATTCTATAAACCAAACACATGGAAGATTCCAAATTCTTCCACGAAATTCAAATCCCTCAAAAACATTCTGTCAAATCAAATAGGCCTTAAAAGGCTAAAACCGTCCAAAATTATTTCACCTGCCTATCTTATTGTCATCCATCCAATCCTGTCTTGTTTGCATACCAAAATTCACCCTACAGAAACCTTGTGGTTATACACTATAACTGGTTATAAAGCGCCCAGCGATCTTTTACTAAATTTTCTATTCATGAATGTTTGTCTTAAAGTTGATACATCTGGGAAAGCATCTGAAGCAACAGGTAGCAACCGGTAAGTCACATGATCTATAAATCCATATTCGGTCTATCTTAGCATAAAAGCATATCGCTCGGTCCACTTATTATGCTAATTCAATTGAATTTCTGAACACAGGAACGCCAAGGAACAAGAGGACGAAAACGTCCCTCATCAAGCAAAAGAAGAGCCAGAGTAAGTGCATCCATGCTTTCTGTATAAATCCCTTCACATATTCTTGAAACAAGCTTCCAATTTCCAAGTGCCGACAAAATTGTTGGTCCGCAATCTGATAAAACCAAACAAACCCAGTATATATTACCACCCTAAGGTGGCTTAGGGTTAGGATGTACCTAGACAGTAGACCTTACCTTTGTCTCAAGAGACACAGAGAGTGCATGACCATAATCTTTTAATCACCAGTGGTTAAATTAGGGGATGTTTTGTTGGTTTTTCATCAAGTCTTGTATGAATAAGGTTGTCTATGTGGATTAATCTGTTTGTATAGATCGGAAAGATTTTTGTTTAAGAGAGTTTATTCATACATGGAAGGAGCTTGTTTTTTAATCGGGAGGAACATGTCTGGAAAAAACTTGGCTTTCCGCACAAAGCTCCCCCTAGAATCTTATTAAATAAGTCACTTTCTATATCATTAAGCCACCATCAAAAACTCATGTATAGCGGACTGAATAAGTCGTGAGTCCCATTAAACTCATTAAGCTGCTAACAAACATGCCGTTACTTGTGTTTCAGGTCAGCCGAGCCAACAGGATCAGGGGCCTCTTTTAGGCCAGGAACATGGCAACCTCCTTCATGATTATTATTACTATTATGGTCACTTGTTTAAGATAATGTAACTCTTCTTAACCGTCGTCGGTTAGATTCTCTTTTATTTTTTAGTTTTTTGAGTAACAGTGGGTTTCTGGGTCTGCTTATATGCAACGACTAGTCCTCAAGTCAACCGGGAATGACTTGGAGTCATCGCAGGCGAACCTCCATAACCATAAGGGATTTAAGATGGATATATTCTTGTGGTCAATCAATCAACAAATCATGCCAATTGCACCAGTCGTGATCATCTTTGAATTCATAAAATTTGAGTTGCCTACATCTTGTTGATTCAAACATGTCTCTCTCAATTGAAAAACACGCTCATTCTATCTATGAAAAACTCTCAAACAAAACCCTTTTTGATATATATATATATGTGTGTGTGTGTGTGTGTGTGTATTTATATATGCACAAACAGATTAATAAACACAAATAGCTTTATCTATACAAGACGTAATGAAAAATTAACCAAACAACCATTAGCCTTTAAGACATAAATGACGATGAATTACAAATCATAGGGACAAAAACCTTGGTCTTGAATGAAAAACATAGTTTACTCTAATATTAAATATGGTTTTATTTTAAAAAAAGTTTGTTTTATCTTGTTCAAATAAATACGTATGTAGTTGTGAGCTTGGTTGGTTATACGCTATATTTGTATTTGTTAATTTTCTTTTCGTATATATCAACATCAATAATTATTTTTTATAATTTTGATACATAATTTAATTTGATTCTAATATCTATACTATATTATAAAATATTTGATAAAAAAACTCTTAAAAATCATTTTTATGTATTAAGTATTGTTTATTGATGCACATTATTTAAAATTCAAGATTACAAGTAAATTGTATGCATGTACAACTTATTAAACCATGTTTGAATTCATGTAAATAATTGCAGATAAACATAATCATTTTATCTATTTTTTGGTCCTTATTAGGGACTCGATTGCTGAAATAGTATCTCTATCCCAAGCAATGAATTTTAACAAAATACTAATTATTATCTATATAAAATAATTATATTGTTAAACAAAAAATAAATGACTTTATTATTAAATATAAATTAAATTATAATAAAAAATTGAATTAGATAAATTATATAAAAAATGAACTTTTAAATATTTAATTTGATACTAAAACCGATATATTTTTTTCAAAATTTTATGATACCTTCAAATTTATATTTTATTCACAAAATAAAAACATTATCGTTTTTCTAATACCACATAAAATCGTATTAGCTATACTATATTATAAAACATTTGACAAAAACTCTTAAAACTCATTTTTTATGTATGAAATACTGTTTATTGATACATATTACTTAAAATTCAAGATTACAAATAAATTGAGCGTAAATACAACTTATTAAAGCTTCATGTTTGAATTCGTGTAACTAACTACAGATAAACATAATCAAATAGAGAATAAACATCACATTTTAAATATAAAAAATCTAAAATATAATTATAATAATCATTAAGTTCTAACAAAATACTTAATTATTATCTTCATAAAAAATTATATTATTAAACCAAAAATAAAAAAAATGAATTAAAGAAATATACAAA